CTGTGGGTTTAGGTTAGGTTAGTATATGACAAAGCTGCCAGAACCGAATTTGTTTGCATTTGCTAGTTGGTTCGACCACCTCCTGTGGGTTTAGGTTAGTATATGACAAAGTTGCCAGAATCGAATTTGTTTGCATTTGCAAGCTGGGTCGGCCTCCTCCTGTGGGTTTAGATTAGGTTAGTACACGACAAAGCTGCCAAAATCGAATTTGTTTGCATTTGCTAGTTGGTTCGACCACCTCCTGTGGGCTTAGGTTAGGTTAGTATATGCACCCCCCCGACTATGCTGCCACCTTGTCGTGGTGGGGGGGCTTGCGTGCCCTTATGATCCTCAAGGCTATGCCGGATAGCGCTTCGCATACCGGACAGGCTTGTGGGGGAGGGGCCAGACTAAGAGCGGCACACTGCGGAAGGTCCACTCCCGGTACCACTCTGATCAGCAGAGCAGACCGGGATGTGGACGCCTATGGGAAGAGCGGTGCCTGTAGGCGGTGCAAGAGCGGGTCTCTCTTTCGAGAAGGCTTGCGGGTGAGAAAGGGAAACATCTCTAACAAAAAAAAAAACCAAGGGTTTACTGCACAGCGGTCTGGATGCAGCGTGTCCAGTACCAGGTCTGGGCCAAGTAGGTCTTGTGGCTGAAAGGGTCAGATCTGGATTAGCGGCCGGCCGGAAGCACCACATTAGTGGCAAACGGGCGGGCGTAACTGTCACAAGGGGAACTCACCCCTCGAAAAAGAGGAGGGTGCTCTCCCTTCATCAGGAGCAGGGGACCTCACCCCCAAAAGGAACAATGAGCACAATCAAAGAGATCGTTTTACCCCAGGAGGGTACCGGCACTGCCGGAGAATCCCTCCCCGTGTCCGCGGACACGGGCTGCCCCTCGTATTCTGGGGGGGGGCAAATTGCGCTCACAGGGCACTGTGCCTATCTCCGAGGGCTTCGGCCCACAACCGACGACAACTGGCATTCACAATGGATCTGATTCAGCTTCACGAATGGACAAAGAGGGGAGTAGCGACTACAGCGACGTGGAATTGGTAGAGCCCGCAAGGCATTCGTCAGCTGTCTCGCTGAAGTTCCGGAAGGGTCGCAAGCGGAGTCGCGACAAAATCGATGGTAGCGACGATATTAGGCAGCAGACAGCGAAGAGAGGAAGGTCTCGAGCGATAAGCTCTAAGATCAGCAAGCGAGGGCAGACCTCGGCCTCTGCTCTATTACGTAGAGCGGAGGATGAGGTCGCTGACTTAACGGCATCAACCGAAGCCACGCGGTCAGCACTATTGGCCGATAGAGTGACAGTTGAAGATGGCGCAACAACGGCCATCCTCAGCAAGCAGGTGCTGAACTTCGTGGCAAGTATCGAGAAGGTCTCCGCCAGGTCTAAAAACCTGAAAGGAGAGTTCAAGCGGGCCCTTAACGTGGCGGCTGTCGCCATCAAAGAGGCAACAGAGGCTCTCGCTAAGCGCAGCATCTCAGCCGAAACGCGAAAGCTGCAGGCGGACAATGACCGTCTGCAGACTGAGCTTAATGAGCTGCGAAAAGAAGTGACGGAGCTGAGGGCCAGCATCATCAGCACCAGCAAAAATCAAGGGATGGCCCCCGTACGAGCGCATGCAACACTTGCACCCGGCGTGCAGAGACCCGACTTGGATGAGATGGAGAGCCTCTTCATGCGATGTGCAGGAGCCATGATAGACGCGCGATTTGAGGGCATCGAGGACAGACTGCTTCCACCGGTGCGGGTCCGCCCTCCACTAGCCGCTGACAGACGCCAGCAGGTGCAGACACCTCAAGTACCGGAGGCTGCAGCCGCCTCGTATAGTGCGGCTACTCAGAAGGGACTAAATGCCCCTTCCTCTCAAATGGTGCGAGCGAAAGCGGGCAAAAAGAAGAAGAAGCGCAAAAAGGCAACACCAGCCTTAAGCACTCCGGGTGAGGCACCACGACCGGAAGTGGCGCCGAAAGACGGCTGGACTGTGGTCGGGGGGAAACGTGCCCAAAAGGCGAAGGGCAATGCCCCAGCTCGGCAAGGGCAACCGGCGAAGGGACCCATCCAGCCATCCAAACCGAAGCTCCGTCCTCCGAGGTCTGCAGCGGTGGTCCTCACACTGCAGCCGGAAGCGGATAAGGAGCTGACATACGGCGCGGCTATTGCCAGGGCCAAGGCAAGCATTGACCTTTCCGTCCTTGGCATACAGGCCGTTCGTTTTCGAAGGGCAGCTACCGGAGCCACAATGGTAGAGGTGCCGGGAGCCGACAGTGGAGGTAAGGCCGACTCTCTCGCAGCAAAGCTCAAGGAGCTCTTCAAGGAGGAAGACATCAGGGTGTCCAGACCCGTCAAGTGCACCGAGTTGCGCCTGACAGGTTTGGACGATTCCATAACGGCCGATGAAATTGCCACGGCAATATCCAGAACCGGAGGATGCCCTGTGAATCAAATCAGGATTGGACCCATCCGGTGGGACCGATCTGGTCTCGGCGCCGTGGTCGTGCGTTGCCCGGTAACCGCTGCCAATAAAGTGGTAAGCGGACTAAAGGTTGGGTGGGCAATGGTTCGTGTGAAGCTGTTGCCCCAGCGAGAAATGCGGTGCTACCGCTGCCTAGAGCTAGGGCATGTCCGGGAACGGTGTACCGCCATAAATGACCGTAGCACGCTGTGCTATCGCTGTGGCCAATCGGGGCACAAGGCGGCAGCCTGCTCTGCCGAGCCACACTGCGCTCTATGTGCGGACGCAGGCAGGCAGGCTAAACATAGACTGGGTAGCAGACAGTGCAATCCCCCAGTGTCGAAACGAGACAGAGGACCACCTGCCGCTGGAACCAGAGCCCAGCCGCGGTATGTCCGCCCACACTTATCGGCTGAGGTGGTGGAAATGGCCACTGATTAAATGGCTACTACGTTTCTGCAGGGAAATATCAACCATTGCATCGCTGCCCAGAATCTTTTGGTTCAGAGCATGGCACAGTGGTTGATACAGATAGTGGTAGTGGCCGAACCCTATTTAGTCCCCGCCCGGGACAACTGGGTAGCTGATCATGGGGACACAGTGGCTATCGCCACGAATATCTCAGCCGGTTCATCGCCATTCCAGCGAGTCATGAGGCGCCGGGGATGTGTGGCAGCGCAAGTGGAGGGCACAGTCGTAATCGGTGTCTACTTCTCGCCGAACAGGAATCTCGCCGAGTTCGAGAGCTTCTTATCGGAAGTGGACACCCTGATCGAATGGGCCAATCCCTGTCAGGTACTCGTCGCGGGGGACCTCAATGCCAAGTCTACGGCATGGGGGTCCCCGGCGACCGATGCCCGGGGGGAGGTGGTGGAGGAGTGGCTGGCTGCCAAAGGGCTAGTGGTTCTAAACCAAGGGTCGGCAAACACATGCGTGCGGTTTCAGGGCGGCTCAATCGTGGACGTCACGTTCGCTAGCGCCGCCTTGGCGCGCCGGGTTCAAGGCTGGGAGGTTCTACAGGAAGTGGAGACGCTGTCAGACCACTTGTACGTCCGATTTCACGTCTCCGCACCCACAGCGACCCCGAACAGTCCAGGTCGAGGTCCCGGGCAACTGGGCCCAAAGTGGGCGCTGACGCGCTTGGACAGGGACGCACTCATGGAAGCGTCCTTAGTCGAAGCCTGGTCCCCTGCACCGGAGTCCATTGAGGTGGAAGGAGAGGCGGAGTGGTTCCGCGAGGCAATGTCGCACGTGTGTGACGTTGCCATGCCACGAGTTAAACCACTCCCTCCTCGGAGGCAGGTGTACTGGTGGTCTGCAGAACTCGCACACCTTCGATCCACGTGTACCATGAGTAGACGCCAGTACACCCACTACCGGAGACGGAGGCAGCGTGACGAGGAGGAGGAGACTCGTCTGCATACCTCGTACAAGGAGGCGAAGCTGGCGCTGAGTACAGCCATTTGGATAGCCAAACAGGTCAGCTGGGAAGAGCTCCTAACGTCGCTTGATGGAGATCCATGGGGGCGGCCATATAAATTGGTAATGAGCAAGCTCCGCCCTTGGACCCCGCCACTGACGTCCTCAATGTCACCCGAGGCTCTGAACAGGGTGGTGAGCACTTTGTTCCCAAGGAGGCCCCACTATGTCTCTCCTGTAATGACGCCCCCGGACACACAGACGGGCCCTATCGGGCCCGGATGGGGATATTCCGGAAGTATCAGAGGGTGAACTGGGTGCAGCCGTGTTGCGGCTTCAAGCAAAGAAAACGGCACCCGGCCCTGATGGAATCCCCGGACGCGCATGGGTCCTCGCCTTAAAAAACGGCCTGGATTCCCGCTTCCGGGCACTCCTCACCGCGTGTCTAAGACAAGGGCTTTTCCCAAGCCGGTGGAAAGTGGGAAAGCTGGTCCTCCTAAAAAAGGAGGGGCGACCTGCAGATTCTGCGTCGGCATACCGCCCAATCGTGTTGCTTAATGAGGCGGGTAAGCTCTTTGAGCGCGTTATTGCAACCCGCCTCATCCACCACCTGGAGGAAATAGGTCCGAACTTGGCGGATGTTCAGTTCGGCTTCCGTCGGGGCAGGTCCACCATCGATGCTATTGCACGGGTGAGGGCCCTTTCAGAAGAGGTTGTATCTCGTGGCGGGGTGGTATTAGCGGTGTCTTTAGACATCTCTAAAGCGTTTAACTCCTTGCCATGGGAATGCATAAGGGAAGCGCTTCGATATCACGGGGTGCCAACTTATCTGCAGAGGGTGATCGCAACCTACCTATCCGGGCGTCAAGTGATTTTCCCCGGTAGAGACGTCTGGGGGCAATGGGAAGTGTCGTGCGGTGTTCCACAGGGGTCGGTCCTGGGACCGCTCCTGTGGAACATCGGATACGACTGGGTGCTGCGTGGGAGTCTCATGCCTGGAGTTGGCGTCGTCTGTTACGCAGACGACACGTTGGTGACAGCTCGCGGCGAATACTATAGGGAGGCGTCCATCCTGGCCACGGCGGGGGTGGCAGAAGTAGCGGGGAGAATCCGCCGGCTAGGGCTAGAGGTAGCCCTTAACAAATCGGAGGTCCTGTGTTTCCATGGACCTCGGAATGGCCCACCGGTAGGCGCCCACCTAGTGGTAAGCGGGACCTCCATCCAAGTCGGCTCCAAAATGAAATATCTTGGTCTCACACTGGACAGTCGATGGAGGTTTCGACAGCATTTCTCTGCGCTAGCGCCAAAACTGACTGGGACGGCGTCAGTGCTTGGTCGACTACTGCCGAACCTGAAAGGCCCGGGAGAAGGGTGCCGTCGCCTCTTTGCAGGGGTGGTCAGGTCCATGGCTCTCTATGGGGCTCCTATATGGGCTGAAGCTCTGAATGCCCAGACCAGGACGCTGTTGCGGAGGCCGCAATGGGTCATGGCGATCAGAGTGGCGAGGGCGTATCGCACCGTGTCCTACGAGGCAGCGTGCGTCCTCGCGGGTACCCCCCCATGGGACCTAGAGGCGGAGGTCTTAAAGGCCGTATACACCCATAGGGCTGACGCCAGGAGGGAAGGGGCAGACCTGTACCCCGAAGACGTTCACAGGTGGAGACTGAACGCGAGGCGGAAGCTATTCCAAAAATGGCAAACACGGCTGGAGGACCCGACTGCTGGCGTCCGTACAGTAGAGGCAGTGCGGCCAATACTTAAGGAATGGGTGGAGGAGCGGAAGGGGCCGCTCACCTATCGACTGGTACAGGTGCTCTCGGGGCATGGATGCTTCGGGAGATACCTGTACAAGATCGCTGGGAGAGAGCCGACCCCTATCTGCCATCAGTGTGGCTGCGCCGAAGATACGGCGCAGCACACGTTGGCGGAATGCCCAGAGTGGGCAGAGGAGCGGGCGGCAACGGTCGCCGTGGTGGGACACGATCTCTCATTACCGGCAGTAGTCAAGTCTATGGTCGGAAGCGAGAGGTCGTGGGAGGCGGTGAGCTCCTTCTGTGAGGTTGTAATAACACGGAAGGAGACGGCGGAGCGGATTAGAGAGGATGACGTCCTCGCTGATCCCCGCCGGCGGAAGAGGACAGGGCGGAGGCGCCGCGCGGAAATGCACCTTTTCTCACCGTAATGGGACTCGAGTGACGAGTCGGGGATTACTCGTCGCCCGTAACATTCAGTCCCAAGAGGGTAGGGCGACTTCCACGTGTTCCAGGAAGCCGCCCCCAGGTGCACCAGTGGCAAGGGCCACTTGAGAGGGTTCGCGCGCCAAACAAAGGCCGCGAACGTCCGCTCTTTGGGGGTCGTGGGTAATGGGTAACCGGTACCATAACCCCCACTAAGCGGCTGGTTGGAACACCCCGGAGTTTTGGTGGGTAGGCTTCCTTTCTGGAAAAGAGTCCCACATAACCCCGCACCTCCCCGGGCGCGGTGGTATGCGTAACGCATTTCTCCGGGTTAAAAAAAAAAAAAAAAAAAAAAAGGG